GGCGCGGGGCGGGCGGTCGCTGCGCACCTCGGCCGCCCTGCGCGGCTCCAGGAACCTGCTCAAGAAAATGCTCCGCAAAACCAAGTAGGTACCGGCGCCAGCTCGGGCCTGCGGGCCGCAGGGCTGGAGCAGGGGCTGATGTGAGCGCGAGCAGCATCGGGGGCCTCGGGGGACGGTGAAGGTGTCATAATATTGCACCCAGCGTGCCGCTTCCTGAACAAAAAGCTTTATTACTGCTATTATTATTTCCCTTTCATATACAGCTTTTTGTGTGGGTGCAAGGCATTGCATCCTCCGTACCCCACCTGATACACCCCACGTAGATACTATGTGGAAACACAACAGTTTTGGGGTCTGTAACGCGGTGTCAGCGGGTGGCCTGTCAGTGTGTTTGCTGGCAGGCAATGTTTTAGTTTTAGTTGCATGGGATGCCACTCCTCTGAATTGCTTGAGGGTAAAAATGCGTGCCTTTCTCCTTTTATTATTATTATTATTATTATTATTATTTTTCCCAAAGAAAGAAGTTCTGTAATGACAGTCCAGCCGTGGAGTCTAAAGTGGTAAGTGCAAGGTGTTCAACTGCTGTGTTGCGTGCACTAGGAGGAATGGCAAGGATGGTCTGCGGCTCCCTCAGCACCAAAAGGAATTGCGTTAAGAAAAGCCTCAAACGGGAGGCCCATAACTTCCCTCTAAATGGCACTGCTAGCTTTTCTCGGCTAAAACAGCCATAAATGAGGGCTCCCTGGAAAGAAAGTTAGTTTTAGATAAAGTGCAGCCTTGTGGTCTGTTTCTATGTAATGAGGCCTGCTCAGCTGCAGGCATCAAAAAATGCAAAATAAATCTCCAAGTGCGTTTTAAAGATGTTCCAGAGCCAATTATTGTAAGCTCATAGTTACAGAATATACATATATATGTATATATATATGTAATCAGCAGGATTTTTTTCCGTCTTTTTTTTTTTCCTGCAATAGTATGGGGCACAATGTTCCATTTTTTGGTATTCCCTATGTGCTTTTACTTCTTTTTCTGCAGTTGTGGCGATCATGTGGTTCGTAGCTTTAACGTTTTTACTCTCTTACTGTGGTTTGCCATAATTTTTGAGGCTTTTGGTTTATGTAGATGCTGTGTGGTCATTGGGGAAGTAGTCTTGCAGTATATAGCATATACATATATATAGTATATAGCACATGGAGAAGGTGTTCTATGGATCCCTTTGGAAGAAACATCCCTAGCATAGCTGCTTGTGATGGCAACGAACTGCAAGGCTGGATGACCCCAGAGAGCCTTTCAGACCGTCTTCCTTTCCTGAAAAGGATGGTACTCATGGTACAAGCATCTCTGCCATATCTGCAGTTGCTTCGGGTTCCTTCTAGTAGGTAAATTCTGATCATCAGCCTGCAAAGAGCAGCCCTAGTCACAGAATGACAAGACTCAGAGTTTTTAATTACTTGATCTGTGGGGTATTTTCACTTTGACTTCTAGTTGCAAATTTTACGGTGCTCAATGTTTTCTTTCTGGGCAGACCACACTGCAAAAGTAAGCACATGAGATTTAGCTGGAAAACAAGTTTTTACTTTTTTTTTTCTGAACAGCAATGTTTCCCTATTATTGCCTGCTGTGTTTTAGAAAACTGACCTAGTGAGCTGTAAAAATAGCTACAAAGTGTTGAAAGAAGAAGCCTTGACTGTGATATGTGAAGGTAAAGTTTTGTGAGGAGAAATACTCCTTGTAAGGAAAAGTTCTTTAAACATTTGAACTATAAGACCAATATAAGATCACCACAGCTGCAACAATAGCATTCTAAGATCATAGAATCACAGAATCCCAGAATGCTTAAGGTTGGAAGGGAGCTCTAGAGGTCATCTAGTCCAACCCCCCTGCACACGCAGGGTCACCTAGAGCACGTGGCACAGGGCTGCGTCCAAGCGGGTTTGAAAGATCTCCAGAGAAGGAGACTCCACAACCTCTCTGGGCAGCCTGCTCCAGTGCTCTGTCACCCTCACTGTTAAGAAATTTTTCCTTAAGTTCCTGTGGAACTTTTGGTATTTCAGTTTGTGGCCATTTCCTTTAGTTTTGTCAGTGGCCACCACTGAAAAAAGGCTGGCCCCATCCTCTTCCCTCCCTCCCTTGAGGTATTTATATACACTGATTAGATCCCCATGCTTGGTAGAAGTACATTCTATTGCCTAGTATAAGTTTGTAGCTACTAACTAATTCTATTTTATTTTATTTAAAGGTGTTTAAACCAACCACGCTGGCCTCTGGAATGAAAGTTGACCAGATAAAATTCAGGAAAGAAGATAACGTACGCTGCAGAGTCTTGAATAACCTCATTTATAAAGCTGTGACAGAGATGATGAGTACCTGCGAAATTAATCAAGAACTTTATAACCTCAAGCTAGAAATCTGCAAGGCAAGTGTGAAAAGTAGTTTGTGCAGAGCCACCCTGATTAGACCTTTTGCCATGGGCAAAAGAAGCATGGAAAAAGAGTTGTACCTCATAGCTGCATCTGTGGCAAAGGGTTTGTCAGTTGTGATAGAAACAGATCTTTATGTTGGTTGAATTCATTCTGCCTTCAGGCTAGAGATTTAAAATAAATAGGTAAGGTAACCTTTTGGATGCGTTCGTGCAGTGCCCCCTCTTACATTATTCCTCTCTGTAGGGCCTTGGGGATTGTGTCTGTAACCCTGGTGGCATGACTGCACTCAAATACTAGCTGGTGTAGGCAAGCTGCAAGACTTGGAGGAGACATTGCTGTAAATGAAGCAACAAATTCGGCTTATGAAATAAGGGAGGGAAAGAAACAACCTTCTTAAAAATACTGTACAAGTATTTTTATAACTGCATAGTACATGTTGTCCCTGCTGCTCTGGGACATGACAGAGACTTAGTCCTGTTTTATTCTTAAGCTAATCATGATGAAATGTCCTTATTTCCATTATTAAAATAAAGCTCTTAGAAGTCTTGGCAATTCATCAGAATTTGCTTTCTAATATTTAGAGTTACACAAGTAACAGATTTTGAGTAATACAGATAAGCATCATGCTTCAGTTTTGATGCTTCACACTTTTATCCACACTATTACATTGCTCACATGTAATTCACATGATGATCAAGAAGTGGCTTGTGTTGGACTGGGCTTTGCTGAATATACTCTTATAGTGAGAAGTGTTTTTAAGACACTGCTATTTTTAGATGAATGACAGTTACAGAAATCTATAAGTCAATTTATGTTTAAAAAGTGTATTCCTCAGGAAGGCAGTCAGTTTACTTCATGTTGTGCAGGAACAGAAGTGTATGTGTTTTCAACTGCATGCATGCCAAGCTACTTCTGTGAATATCAAGTCCAAACTCTAGGTGAGAACAGACCAGATATTGTCATAGTTCTTTAGCAGAAACATGCACTTTTCAGCAACTATATTCCAACACAGCACATGATAAATAGTAATTCTGAACTATTTGTGGTGGTAGTAGCATGATATTCAATAAAAATAGCATTGCCAATAACATACAAGTGCTGAAGGATGACTTTTCCAACTAATTTCACTTAAGGGGCTGATTAGGCAGTGATTTTCCTAAATTAACAGTGCCTTCAAATGCAGATTGTGAATCTTCCTCAGTGCCCATACTGCTGTAAGGGCACGGTAGCATTTTGGTTCTTAAGAGTGGAAGAAAAGGTTCTCCTAAGCATTTATTGCATTGCTGCATGTTTACTTATGAAGTGGATGCTTTGCTGTATGTGAAGTGAGTGTATATATATGTATGTATACACACACACATATGTGTATATGTATAAATTTAAAAGGTTTTCCTATTGGCAGGTGTCCATGGCATCGAGGTTCTCAGCATGTCGTATTTACTGGAACCCTTTGTCCACCACGGAAGAAGAAAGCTATGTTGAAAGTGTGCTGCAGAAGAGTGCTCCACGTATACGGTACTGCTAGAAACTGTTAAAATACCTCATAAATTCACAGCAATACGCTATATTAATAACATTTCTTAAGGATCCTAACAATCTAAATGAGACGTTGGGTTCTTACGTAGTTGGGGTCAGAGGATCTCCTGGGATGAGCCTCACAAAGATGGATGACAGGCCCAGGCCACATGTGAATTCTCGTGTTGGGGCATAGCTGACTTACTTGGCTTCTACACTTTCCTCAGCTTGGACAGGGCTGAGCAGAAAGCAAGAGGAGCTTCACTAAAGTGTGACTTCATAGCATTAGTGGGGGTGTTTGGGGCATGCAGAAGACTGGTTTCTTGCCACACTGTTAGGACTGTAACCTGCAGTTGTTCTTGCCCCTGCCGGGGGCTGAGCAAGCTGAATGGAGCAAGGAGAAGCTTGGGCCAGCCTGTGTGTACACAGACTGATTAAGGTCAGAAGGGACCTCTGGAGATCATCTGTTCATCCCACCTGCACAAGCAGGGTCACCTAGAGCACATTACTCAGGATCATGTCCAGGCAGGTTTTGCATATCTGCAAACAAGGAGACTCCGCAGCCTCTCTGGGCAACCTGTATACCAGGGACAAAAGGGATATCCAGTAGGATCTGCAGCTAATTTAATATTTATAATGTTACACACTCTAAGATGAGGTTCTGCAATGACAGGCGCTGTAATCTGAGTGAATACCTTCAGGTACCCTCTTATCTTGTAGGACCTTAGCCTTACACTTTCACTATTGCTCTGGTATAACTTAGTTACAGATATCTTACCTGTTTTACAGATGTGTAGGGATATCCAGTAGGATCTGCAGCTAATTTAATATTTATAATGTTACACACTCTAAGATGAGGTTCTGCAATGACAGGCGCTGTAATCTGAGTGAATACCTTCAGGTACCCTCTTATCTTGTAGGACCTTAGCCTTACACTTTCACTATTGCTCTGGTATAACTTAGTTACAGATATCTTACCTGTTTTACAGATGATGTACTATTAATCAAACTTGTGACTGTTGTGTTTTTGCCAGGTATCTTCTGATGAGTCAGCAGATTATAGGAAATGTGCCACCAATAGTATTTCTAAAAGACAAAGAAGCAGCAGCTTTAAAAAAGGTAATTGGAATACTTGACTCACAGAAACATCGCTATAGGCATAGCACAATCATTTAGTGTATCATACTGCTCAGGAACAGAGAAAGAGAGGTGATAATTCAATTACAGTAGCAATTTACATTAGAAATCAGTCTTTATGGTTTCCTTTCTTCTTTATGTTCCGAAGCATTTTGGCAAAGAATCCTTAGTATAAAAGAATGCTTGTGCCTATATCCTCAAGAATTTGGCTGTGTTAGAAATTCTGAAATGAAATATTTGGGGAGGCTTGTGACAGATAGTTAAGTGAATTAAACAAACCAAATGGCCAAAAAATGCAATTATACTTCCAGAGTAGCCGGTTACCTCTTGTCTGGCACACATTATTGCAGGAATTAGGTCTGAGGAACTGTCTTCCACATTTTAAACATTATATATTCTTAAAATGCCATTGAATCTTAGTAGTGATTTTACTGTTGTTGATTGCCCCAGTCTTTTTCCATCTGTGGGTTGTTAAAGCGTTTCCAGAGAAGTGTATATCTTTGCATGGTGGATTAGGCTCACTGAAACTATTTTTTTAAATTCTTTTTAAGGCTTCAGTGTTCCACATTGCTCAAAGTGTTGACCATTTTAACTAGTAGAAGTATTTCTGGAATATCAATGGTTTCTAGGAATTTGCTGTTATTAGGAGTGTAAAGGAAGACCTTTTCTAAATGGCGAGGTTTCCAGAAAAGAAAGATGACATTGATGAATGAAATTTCATAAAATGTGGCTCCTCGAGCTATTTAAGTGAATTAGGGGACACAAATGTGCATATGCTCATTTCAACCAATGTTCTTTAAAGTGCCATGTTCTTAGATGTATTACTATTACTACTAGCATATGCAGTTAGTATTAAATGGGATCATACATTGCATATTAGCATCCTAGAAAGCAATACCGAGAACTTTTTTACTCTCTAGGAATTCAGTGAAATTCTTGAAATTTCCTTGGGGAGAAAAATTCTGGAAGAGCTTCCTGCCAATATAATGATCCGCTGTCTAAATCTTCCTTATCCTCATTAGCATCGACGAGAGGCATAGGAACAAGGATGAACTAAACACTGCTGAAAGCATCATCCTTGCGTGCCCCTCAGCTCAATACCTCCAGAATCTCTACACAGTATAACACAATATACCTGTGGTTATAAAACCATCCTTGCTGCTATTAACATATCTAGATGGAGCCGCAACATTTTTTGCAGGTCCTGCTTTTCAGGTCTGTTATGGTGCTATGTTCTGTTCATCACTCTATCCCAACCTTCTTAAAACAACCTCCTGTACATTCTGAAGAAGAGGAAAACCCTGTGGGCTACTTTGCCTTACAGTTTCAGCGCATACACACCTTTCTTAGTGCTGAGCTAAGCTAGCCACAAAAGACAAGTGAAAAATCCTCCTTATGCAACTGCTGTCAGTGAATGGCCCTAGGAAACATGCAGATGGGTCATCTTCTCATGTTTGCAGACTGTGTGATTTGAGTAATCTACATATTTGAATAGCAGGGCTTAAAGTAATGTAGCTGAAACTGATAATTTTAAGTGTTGCTGGGTGGAGAAACACCATCTGATTCAGCTCCCAGAAGAGGAATAGTACCCTGAATTAGAAGGGATGCAAAGAAAAGCAGGAATAAAAATTTCAAAGGAGACAGAATTTTCTCAAATAGGTGCAATCTGTAAGCATCAGATTCACTAGATTTGTAGCACTTTCCAGTCGGGTATGATGTTAAAAGGAAGCTGGGAAAACTGTTTACATGGGATAGAGACAAAAACTTGGAAAAAGAGGGAAGAAGGAACAGAAATGCCAGCATAAGGATGTTGTTAAAAAGAATTTGCAAGAGTAAAAGCAAATAAAAAAATATACATTCAGAATATGCATAAGAGAAAAAAACATTGCAGGATAAATAATCTATGGACTGACCCTGCTATTTGCTATGAAATACCCTGTCAAGAAAAACAGATATATATTGTTACTCTCATAGCCTAAAAAGTGAATGAGATCTGTTGAGTGATCCAACTCATCTCATGGCCAGTGAAAAATGGTACCGTAGCATACATTTCACAGTAGCTATTTAAATGAAGATGGAGGAAAAGGCTGTTTTGAAATTGTTCTGCTAAGTATTCCATACATGTAGAAAAGAAATTGGTATTGACCATTTGATATTTATCTATTTCTTGTGTAGGTGTGGAAAAAGGAAATTTATTAGAGGGCCTTTAATATGTCTTGTCTTCCTGTGTTCACAGATTGACGAATTATTGTCAATTGCTGATTTTGGACCGCCAGAAGAAGAAAACTTGCCTCTAAATGATTCCAGGTGGGTCTTTTAAACCAAATTTGGACAAGTGTTTGGACAACATACTATATTTTCATTTGTGTTTGCCAACTTAAATTGACCATTATTTTATGTGTCAAAATGTGTATTTTAATTAGATGTGTTGTTAATGTCAGAGTTCAGTAAAGTGGTCTTCAGAAGAAATACTAAGTAGAAGAGAGAATTTATAGAAGACCTTACCACAGTAAGGTCTTGTTTTGGGGGTCTTTTGTAACAGAGAAAAGTTACAGAATAACCAAAGGACAAAACTAATATGTAATCATTCCAGAAATTATATGTAGAGGATGGCATTTTATTTGGTGTTTTGGCCTTCTTTACAAATGTTACACCCATTTTTCAAAACAGGGAGAAAATATTCCTTATTGTGTGTGCTCTGGTTTACTTTTATAGTGTAGTGCTGAGATATTTTTATGGGCTATTATGTCTTTGGTTCTTCTGCAGCAATACCTTGCTGCAGACAACAAGTTTGCAAAAACAGAAAGGAAAAACTACGTTTATCATCCCTTGTAATAGTGCAGTGTATGGGCTTTTGGAAACAGTTAATCCATAAGGTGATAAAAAACATAGTCTCAGAAATCAGCACGGTTTGAGGGATGTGCCTTTTTACTTTAAATGAAAGTATGTTTACATAGTAGTATTACAGCCTCATGAGTTTCTAAGGTTGAAGCTGTTAAGACTGATGTTTGGTCTTCTGGGTAACCTGCCCTTCTGCAAACCCCACCGTCTAAAGCAACTGGAAATGAACGGTTTCACCTGGAAGGTAGCTGCTCTATTGGCTTCTCCCCATAAAATCCATTGATGTGTTGACAAGCTTATTCACAGCCCATCCTTGCACACTTAGCCCACTTAGAGTGGTAGCTCTTCCCCCTTAGCATGAGGAGCACAGTAGCAAACACAGTGAATTAATGAACTCCATCAGGGAAGTTCAGGTTATTTACAGGTTACCCAAATTGCCACAATTAACACTGCTGCTTAAAATGCACGCAGAAGGAAAACCAACCAACCAACCACACAAATCTTTTCCTTTTCACAGTAAAGCAGACTCTTCAGCAACAGAATCTTCAGATTCGTTCGTCCGGTCTAATCTTTTTGGTATTGATCATGAACTGCTGAATAAGCAGATAATGGAGTACAAAAGGCTGAAAGTGCCGAAAGAGCCGGAAGGCATCGCCTGGATGGAACAGCAGGAGCAGCAGCTGTCTGTGATTCAGAAGAAAAAGAAAAAGAAGAAAACCAGGAAAGCCCCTGACGATGACATTACCCCACAGAAGTACTTACTGGACAAGTACGAGGCTGAGTGCTTGGATGAGAGCACTCAGCCTGGCTCTGACTATGAGCTGGAGCAGGAGCTGCAGGAGGAGCTAAGCAAACTGGGGGCAGAGGATGGCGAAACCGAAAGCCACCCTACGGTTCAACCGAAGTGAAAAGGTCACTCCCATTACGATGGAGACCATCAATAGCAGACTTAAACAAAGAGCGTCATAGATCTGGAAAGGTGTGTTTGAAACTAGCAGGTTTGCTGCACCTGCTGGGGTTTGACAGCAGAAGTTACGGAAGAAGAATGACTGGGGTTGGCCATGCTCTGCTAAGAAGCTTTCAAGTTGCTGTGTATGCAGGAATTTCAGCCAGAGAACAGTTCCCTAACAACAAAATATACATTGGGCAGCACTGTGAGTTAAAATTTCTTGCAATCTTGTTTGTTATTTCCAATAAAATTATTCTTGTTTTTGCGTAATAAAAAAAAAAAACTTGGGGGGTGATTTGGATAAAAATAATTATGAAATGGTAGGGCCTGTTTTTCTAAGGATAGGAGGGAAGATGGAAAGCAGAATAATGACAGTGGAGTTCAGAAAATGGCCTTAGGGCACAGAGACCTGGGCAGTGTGTTCTCTAGAAAAACTAGTGTATTGGGACTCTTTCCACAAGAGAGTGAAAATCACCGAGACTGTGGCAAATAGAGTTACAATCCTGAAAGAAAATAATTAATTTATATCTGTTGTGAAAGGGGAAGAAGGCAACTAGAAAAGAATAGGGAGCTACTTGCTTGTTTGATAAAATAAGGCAAAGCACTGACCATTACTGAAAGGACTATATTAAAAATTAAAGTGGAAAAAAGGCAGCAAAAAGACTGTACAAGGGCAACTGCACTACAGTATGTTGCTTTAGCCTTCAAAAAGATCTAAAGACTGTGTGTAGGCTCCAGAGTGCAGAAAGACATAGTCTAAAGGAATTTTTGGATAAATGAGATAAATTTGGGTTAGTAAGGTACACTGAAATTCACTGTAGTGTATTTAATAATCCACTTGAAACATAGTCTGAAGATGACGGGTTGCTTTGAAGAACTTGGAGAACGTGTGAGAAGAAGATGTCAATAGGATATTCCCTAAGTTACTTTGAGATTTCTGTTGAATGAAGGGAGAGGTCCTATAAATGTCTGCATCATGTTTGTTAGGATACATGTTGACACCACAGCTCACATTAGTTCTCATCCAACTTGAAGCAGGTGAATAATCCCATTAAATTCCAGTGTGCCTTGTTCTGGCTTTCCTAGATTTCTTCCTAAATTCCCTAGGAGGGACATGTTGTGAAGTAGATGCTTTTAGTTTGTTTTCTAGTGAGCGAAATACCAGAAATTGTTAATGCATGATATCACTGTCTACCAATGCAGACCATGAATTAGTTGCAACGAAGCTGTTAACATTTTTAATGAATGACAGGAACCTGCTACTTGGTACTTGCTAAACTAATCCACCAAATACTAATGTCTCCACTCTCAGTTTCTGCTTTAAGAAATGTGTTCTGCCTAGAATATAAAAGAAAAAAAAAAGTCCATTATTAGGCTCTTGGAAGGCCAAGAGTGCAAAGGTGGTCATACCTGTGTCTTGTCTTGGGTGTCTGTAAAGTAAGCTACAATTTATAAATTAGAGTGTCCCTGATGAGCAACACAAGCTGTTGTCACTCTCAGCGCCTGGTACCTTGGCTCCCTTGTGCAAGGGAGGGCTGCTCTGCTCTTCCCCTTGCTGTTGTCACTAGTGTGTGGCGATGTGCTGGAGAAGGGGGCTAACCAAGGGCCCCAGCAAGGGGACAGCCTTTCTCAACGTGCTGATAGGGAAGGCAAGGCAAAAGCAACCGGCCTGGAGGGCAGAAGGAAACCTTAGAGCAGAGCAGACGGCACCGTGGGGCTCCCTGCAAGGCCTTGAGGAGAGGCCCAGGGGAGCGTGGAGCAAAGGTGCACGAGCGCCAAAGCCAGCGGGCGAGAGCAGCCGCGGGGCTGCTGCTGGCGCCAGCGCTGCCGCTTGCTGCCGCCTCCGCGGGAAGCGGGGGCAGAGGTTGTCTCTGCCCCGGCACCTGTGCTGGCCTGGGGTGTGGGAAGGAGGGTGTTCAGCCAGAAGCTCAGTCCTCTGCTGTTAGGGGCAGCCACTTGCTGCGTGCAGCTGGAATCCCGCTCAAGGACGTTTGCGTAGATAGGAGGAACTTGCTTAGCGGTGCAGCTCAAATTAGGAGATAAGTGTCCACTTAGGCGTCTGCCACGCAAATAGTTTTGAATGTAGAGTGTAATAGCCAATGCCAGCTTAGCAACGTGTTCTCTGTGGCGCTCTGGGACTGAAACTAAACCTTCCAGGATACACTGGGATCCTACAAGGGTCTCTGAGATCCAGGTTTAATATTGAAGGTCACAAAGCACGTCAGTTCTTTCAAACTGATTATGATTCTCGTGTGAATCAGAATAACCAGTGGCAAAAATGACATCATACCAGGGAAATCAGAAAGCCAAGAGGCATGTCTGATTTTCTTCTAGAGACCTGATTGTCTATCCGAGGAATTATTTATCTGGAAGCCAATCTAACTGTAAGCCTTGCTAGCATACGTAAAGCCAAGAATTAGAGTGAAAGCTCAACAAAGTGAAGTAAATGTGCCAATACTTTGTTATTCTGTCCCATGTGTTGCTATTACCCAGCTCTGCAAGAAGGTAAGTGAAGACAAAAAGCTTTAATCAGTTTTAAAGGTCTCAGCTTTATAGAGTCTGTAGCCAATTGTTGCAGCTTGGAGCGGGTCAGGAATGCCAGACAGCAACTTCATAGAAGCTGGAACTGACTTCGTTTATTAGCTTACATGCAGTACATTTATATGATTCTAACAGTTAGTGATGTAATTACACAGGCTCCTAATTGGTAGACAATGATCTAACTAAGACCCTTAGAGCCCCCCTTACTTGTTTAGCTCATCCTTTTAGTTCAACAGCTCTTTTATTCCCTCTGACCTTGGTCTACTTTCTTATCTCCTAGTTAGCACTCCCTTTGTTCTTTCACTGAAACCTGAAGGCTGGAATTGAGCAGGCCTGCTGGGCAGCCATGTCCGCGGCTCTCTAAACATTCCTCTACAGCCAATCAAACCAAAAGAAAATCCTCTAGCTGTGAAAAATGAGTTAAATGCATGTTTTTCTTGCTTTCAATAACTGCTGATAGCACATAGTTGCACTACATGCATTTGTACATTAAAGTCTAATAAAAACTATTATGGTGAAAGTTCAGTCATTCTCATAAACACATAAACAACCAAACATGACATCTCAGTAAGGGGGCGAAAAATGTGGCAATATTTACCCGTTGTGGTAATTGCTTTTCATATTATTTTGTCTGTAGTACGTTTTTCAGGTAGTTTGCTTTGCTTAGCAGGCTTTGCTCACACTTGCTGGAAGATAAGGTAGAATGTAGAAAGACTGTAGTTAATTTTGGCTACTCTCTCTCTGGCTTCACGCCATAGGCACTATGCAGGAATCACCTTGCAAGGAAAACAAGAAAGAGAAAACAAAATGTAGGCGGTGTGGCATAATAAAAGGCCATGGCAAAAGTGTTGAGCTGTGCGGCATCTCGGGAGGACCATGTGTTCTGGGCTCTCAGGGTTTTGAGGAGCATGAGAAAACATGGCACCATTTTATGGGACAATTATTTTATTCTAGCTGCAGGTTCACGTAACAATTGTAGCCTTTCTATATATTTAGCTGAACTATCTGCAGTCGTAAGGTTTAAAAGTTTTTATAACTGGTGTTGATTCTTGAGCAGCTGTCCAAGGACAGCAGTGTCTATATGAACACATGTGTTTTCTGGCTCCCCCATTAAATCCAGTGTTTTTTTACACCCTTTGACATGAGAGTTTCAAAGATATTAGGGGCTTTCTTTGGGATACACAAACAAAATCCGCTAGTATCTCCACTGACCCATAGGAAGGCAGGAAGCTTCAAAGTTTCTAATGGTTACTTTTTTAGGGAAAAATTTTGGGTGGGGATTTTGCAGCAGGGTGCTAAGTCCCCAGTTGCTGTTCACAGGACTTTATTATTGCTAACTTGTAACTGAAAATCCTCACCTGATCCTAGGGTTTATTTGCTTCAAACAAACAGCAAGGAAGGAGCTGCTGCTGCTACAATTCAGGCAGCCCACCCACCTTCCCTCCTCATGCATCTTCCTTGGGTGCCATCGGATCAGAGGAACAGGAGGTGGCTGCTGACAAAATAAAAAACTAGTATCACAGAAATGGGGATCAACCCCGTCAATCTGATGACAAACTCCTTAAACAATGATCCAGAAGCACCTTTGACACACGGACCCAGTCCTTGGCATAGTAGTCCCTGCCTCCTGGACCCCACAGAACGTCTGGACAGATGACAAAAACCCCTGAAGTCTACAAATGTATGGCTAGAAACTATTTGAAACTAAAGAAATAAAATAACTGGCCGGTGTAAATCCCAGGTGAGCTCAGTTTGAAATCACCTTTTCAAGATCAGATAAATGCCAATAAGGCTGTGACTGTGTTTACCACCCTTGACGAATGAGAGAAGATGCTGGTCTTAAATCTGCAGAGGGCTGTGCACAAGCTGGAGATCTCTGAAGTCAAGAGTGTAGCCCAGTGCTACCAGATCTTGCTAATACTGGGCTTGTTGCAAAGCTGAAATCTAAACTTGGCAGTTTAATTTGTTTATAAAGAATCTTTGTTATAGCACATAGGACTTCCTGTCACCAGTTGACAGGAAGTAGCAAGACTGGGCATATTCAGTCAATGGAAAATCATTTTCAGTGATTTTCTTCTCATTTTCCAGAAAAATGGTCTCTTTCTCTCTTTCCTCTTGCAAAGCTTCTTTTGTTTGCAAAGTTTCCACTTTGACTGAGACTGAACATTTTAAAAAATATATGCCTTCTTGGCATTTTGTAGTAAAACATGGCTCAAAAACTATACAGGAGCAGGTTGCGACAAGCTTTGTGCATCTGTATGACAGGCATTTGAATGTTAACAGAATACAGCAAAGCGCTCTCTGGGTGAGTATCACTTTGATTTGGATGCTTGAACTTTAACTTCCTCATTGGTACTGCTCAATGCTTCATTTAAGAGCTTGATGCTCTCTTTCTATTTCTGTCACAACGGCAGTAGC